AAATAAGACAACTGATACATGGATCTCAAGAAACTAAAAAGCTAAGAAGCCCTGCAACCAAATGAAGTGTTTTGTGTAGGACAAGATATAAGAACCTAATTTCAGAGGTGCCACTGATACGGTAGTGGCAGAGCTGTGTGGGGTGAACAATGGAGTTTTGAAAATGCATATGAGGCTCACTCCATGGGAGGGAGCTCACGCCCAGTACTATGGATCTGGTCAAAAAACCCATGGCTAGGGAAGACATTGGCTCCAGGAGCCAGCCTATTACGCTTATTTTACCAAGTGGTCCTACGATTCTTGAATATTTATGTCAGACTAGTGTTATCCTCAGTTTTGATCCAAGAGGTTTGTCTTCACAGAAAGCATCAGTCAGTCCAGAAACTCACGGTTGGTGACAATGTTGAGAACCAGTGACTATGCACGCTCAACCTTACACAGGACACCCATATTATCCCCTCCAAGGCTTAGAGAGCTTGGAAGAGGGAGGAGAAACACCTTAGGAGCTGACCGATGGAGAGAAGGGACACGAGATACTCCGACATGTACATGGAGCTGACCGATGGAGAGAAGGGACACGAGATACTCCGACATGTACATGGAGCTGACGGATAGCGAGAAGGGACACGAGATACTCCGACATGTACATGGAGCTGACCGATGGAGAGAAGGGACACGAGATACTCCGACATGTACATGGAGCTGACGGATGGAGAGAAGGGACACGAGATACTCCGACATGTACATGGAGCTGACGGATGGCGAGAAGGGACACGAGATACTCCAACATGTACATGGAGCTGACGGATGGAGAGAAGGGACACGAGATACTCCGACATGTACATGGAGCTGACGGATGGAGAGAAGGGACACGAGATACTCCAACATGTACATGGAGCTGACGGATGGAGAGAAGGGACACGAGATACTCCGACATGTACATGGAGCTGACGGATGGAGAGAAGGGACACGAGATACTCCAACATGTACATGGAGATGACGGATGGCGAGAAGGGACACGAGATACTCCGACATGTACATGGAGCTGACGGATGGCGAGAAGGGACACGAGATACTCCAACATGTACATGGAGCTGACCGATGGAGAGAAGGGACACGAGATACTCCGACATGTACATGGAGCTGACGGATGGAGAGAAGGGACATGAGATACTCCGACATGTACATGGAGCTGACAGATGGCGAGAAGGGACACGAAATACTCTGACATGTACATGACATGGCCGGGACATGCATGAACTCGAAATAGCTACAGTTGCCTGCACAAGACTGAGCCCCGAAACGTTTGCTCATAGATGGGGGAGAGGGATCACGGGACCCCCTCTCAACCAGTGGGTGAATGGCAGGGGAGGGCTGCTGGGGGAGAGGAAATCACTGTCACCGCAGATGTAGACACTTATGAGTTGTCCACGATAGGGCAGAGATCCTTTACGCTCAAACAGGAATGGCCTTCATTAAACCCGGTGGATCACAAAAGCAAGAAATGAGCATGGGGTGGGGCTTGTTGGGATACAAAAGAGTAAAGGAATGAGCGAGACAAGAATGTATCATACACAAGTATGAAATTGTCAAAGGCGAGATTAATAAAAGTAATTTTAAAACAGTAGAGAGCAATTGAGAAAGGCAGGGACACAGACCTCTGAGCTCTACACCGAAATGCATGCTGAACATACCTGGACAGACACACACGTGTACATCTCTCTCTCTCTCTCTCAATCTGGCTTTGACATTTTTTTTGTATAACTCAAAATTAGCTCTACCCTGATAAGATAGACATCATGCTCTTTAAAGAAGATTATAATGGAGTTTTGGTTGGTGGAGTAAACTTAGTGCTAGTAAATTTTTGTACAGATCAATTAATTTAGTGCAACGAACTAATTAGCCACTTGTGTCTGCCTGCCTAAAGCAGGACAGCTAAAATAGGAAGATGACATGCAATTCCCGAGTTACACCACTGAGTGGAGCCATTTCCACAGCAAAGATACAACAATGGCAAAATGGGGATTATGTTTCCTAGTAACATGGTTGGTCTCCAAACATCTGGCCCACAGGCTCCCGAGGCCCACCAAATGAATGACTAACTTAGGGAGCAATACAGGGAGCTCAAAGTCAAGAAGGTGGCCTTCCCCCAAGTAGCACCAACATAGCACAAATGTCTGCCGAAAGAAGATGGGAGTGATTGGCTCTGAGTGTTTTTCTTTTTTAACACGGGGGAGTGTTAAGGGGGAACATAACAGCAGTCCTGTAGGATGGCGGTATCAGGGATACAGTCGAAGTCTCAAGGCCAGCTGTGGTGATGAGTAGCCCAGACACTTCTCAGCAGAAAAAGGCTTTGCAGTTACATTTCAGAGCATGTCTTGGGCTGTCTAGAAGTTTTGTTTCTCTCTTTATCGTTCCTTTTTGCAGCTGTTTCGAGCGCTGAAGTTTTACTATATTTTTCTTCCATAAGAACATTTTTATTTTAATTACGTGTGTGGGTGTTTGGTCTCCATGCATGTTGTGAAACATGTGTGTGCAGTACCCATGGAGGCATCAGATCCCAGGAACTGGAGTGACAGACTCTTGAGAGCCAACTTGCGGGTTCTAGGAGTCAAACTTGTGTCCTCTGGAGGAGCAGCCAGTACTCTTTTTTTTTTTTTTTTAATTTAGGAACTATCTCATTTCCCCCCTTTCCTCTTTCTCCTATCCTCCCATGCTCCCCACTGATCCCCCCAACCCACCCCCAACCCGCTCCCCAAGGATAGTGAGGCCCTCCATGGGGGAATCATCAAAGTCTGTCACATCATTTGGGGGAGGGCCTAGGCCCTCCTCCGTATGTCTGGGCTTAAATAGTATCCCTCCACAGGGAATGGGTTCCCGAAGTCCATTTGTGCACCACTGTTAGAGGTCCCATAGACTGCCCAGGCCTCCTAGCTGGCACCCACATTCAGAGGGCTTGGTTCTGTCCAATGCTGGTTCCCTGTGCTCTCAGTAGGTCAGGTCAGCTGTTTCTGTGGGTTTCTCCAGCACGCAGCCATTACTCTTAACCTCTAGCCACCTGCTGTATTTTATCGGTTTTAATGACACATCAAATTAGATGACTCAGATGTCCCCTGATTGAAAGGTTTCACAGAGACATCCACATTGCCTACTGGCTTATAGCAGTGTTTCCCATATTAAAATGGTTTCATTTGTCAGCCACCACAGAAACTACCAACGATGGGTAAATGAAAGGAGTCATTTTTAACCCCAGGAGACGTCCTCCTCAGTTCTGAGAAAGGGCATCAACGGTGGAGCCCAAGCGGCCACCTCACAGCCCCCGGAGAGAGAGAGGCTCATGACCTCTGCTCATCACCTACCAGGGTGTTCACTTTTTAATTTTCTTCTTGGCTCAAAAACAGCATCGAAAGAGTGGTAATTTAGAAAAATGGACTTAGGGAGACAGTCTCCTGTGCCAAGGGAAGTGAGGGAGTCCGATTCCATTACCCTGTGAGTCAGTTTTGCCTGTTACTGTAAAAGAGGTTGTTATGAAACTCGTCAAATGTTACTTCAGAGGAAAGCCAGTGTTTGTGATCTGCTCAGAAAACAAATTAGTCAAGACACATCACAACCGGTCCTGGCTTCACCGGCCCCATGGAAGACTCTTGCGGCTAAAGTGTGTGTCGGTTATCTGCTGTTTACATAGCCGCCTTCCCGAACCTTCTCCCACACTTCTTTCGGTTCAGAAAAACAGACACCATCTGGAACTGAGGCCAAGGCTGAATGGCACGAGGAAAGCAGCCTGCCTTTCCACGAGTTTGACTTAGCTCAGAAGGGGACTGAGCAGCCAGGCGGAGGGACAGCCTGGGCACAGAGGAACCTTGGAGACTGAGCAGCCAGGCGGAGGGACAGCCTGGGCACAGAGGAACCTTGGAGACTGAGGGCCAGACATAGACAGCAGGGTCCCCAGAAGGCGAAGGGTTGGTACACAGCGCCGAGAATCACAATGGAGAATCACATTTTCCAGCAAGTTCCAGAGGCTTGGGGTCCTAGGAGGAGTTGTGACGAGGCTGCCCAGAGCAGGACCTGCATGCACACACCAGACAGACTGGGTCGCCGTGGGTGAAGCTGTGGAGGTCATGACCCTCAGTAGGTCAGGGGGTGGAAAGCATAGGCCTGTCTGTAAGGACAATGGACAAGAGAACTTTTTTTCCTGTGCTTAAATCTCTGGACATCTGTGCCGGGGAGATAGGCCCAGCCTGTAAAGTGTTTGCTTGCTGACTCCAACCTGAGTCAGAGTCCTAGAGCCCACATAAAAAATGCCGTGGGTTGGTGTGTGGACTTGGGAGGTGGAGGCATCTGGAGACCTGGTGCCCACTGGCCTGAAAGCCTAGCACACGCTGTGAGCTTCATAGCTTCAGGGCAACGGGAGAACGGACTCGAAATAAAAGCAAACGAATAATAAGCAAACAAACACACAGCAAGGAGCATGGGTCCCGAAGAATGATACGAAAGGTTAAGTTCTACGCGTATACACACTAGCGTGCAAATCCAAACGCGTGTGCCCACAAGAACAGTTGTGCCCCCACATACAATTAGACAAACAAGTGGCACGCTCCCCCAAGAGGGGCGCCTGTGGGTCAGGAAGAGGGGAGGGGATTGGGCAGAAACCTTGGTGGCTGTGCTGTAAGACTCACCCTTGCTTTCCTGTTAACCGTGGCCTAGGGAAGCCCCGGAAGCTTCTTCCCTTCCCACCACTTCCCACCCTTTCCATCCTTTCAGCCGGCTGGACACTCAACCTATGTGTCCCAAAACCCAGGCCTGGGGGAGGAGCTGGGGGAGGGGTGGAGAGACCCCCCCCCCCCGCACACGTGGACCGCAGCGCAGCATCTCTGAGGCTGTGTTCTGGGCCCATGAGAATCTGTATCGGTGTCTGTGGGTGAGCCTGAGAATCTGTGGGGAGGGAGGGGGAGGGCGCCTGTCAGCCTCATACAAGCGCATTCTGCATAGAGAGGCGGCTAATCTCGGTTGTCTTTACAGGACTGGGATGCACATGGCAGTTACTTAAATGTGTCTCTGGGTGTTTGCAGGGGATGTTAACTACGGGAGGACATGTGCCCTGCACGCTGGCAGCGCCACCCCACAGGCTGGGGTGTTACAAGGGAAAGGAGAAGACCCTGGAAACTGAAGGTAGGTCCTCCTCTTCCCCTCCTCCTCCCCTCCTCTTCCTCCTCCTCTTTCTCTTCCTCTCTCCTCTTTCACAGTCATGCTGTGAGCTGTTTTGCTCTGCCACAGCCTCCCAAAGAGAAATCTCTGAGACTGGAATAAACTCCGTCCCTAAATTTATTAATTAGACTAGTGAGAAAGGCAACACGTGTGCCACATGGATTTGAGGGTAGAAATGATGTTCCTTTGGAAGCTTGATACTTGGAGATGCTGGGGAGCCTGCCACCAATCCATGTTCATTTGCTTGTCTGCTTTTCAGACAGAGTCTCAGGTAGCCCAGGCTGGCCCTTGACTTGCTACGTGGCTGGGGATAAGCTCGGAGTTCCGACCTTTCTGCCTCTACTTCCTAAATGCTGGGATTATAGACATATGCTATCACAGTTGGTTGGCTTATGATCCCAGCACTTTTTGTTTCTCAGTAGAAGTGGCACCAGGTTAAGCGCTGTCACTGCAGGATACACATGTGAGACTCTACAATTGTTAGTCCAACTGTACCGTACCACGGTGTATTTACATCTAAAACTCGCATGTGCAATCCTTAGCCAAGTAGAAACAATAAAAGACTTGTGGAGCTTTCACTTCTAAGAAGACTCATGCAGATATCTTAGAAACGACTCCTGGGCTGGAGAGATGGTTCAGCAGTTGAGAGCACTGGCTGCTCTTCCAGAGGATCTGGGTTCAATTCCCAGCACCCACATGGCAGCTCCCAGCTGCCTGTAACTCCAGTTCCAGGGAATCTGTCACCTTCACACAGACATGCATGCACGCAGAACAAACACCAATGCACAGAAAAAAACAAAAACAAAAACAAAACAATCCCAGCCTGGGCTCCAGGGTCCTCTCAGCTGTGCCTGAGGGCACGAGCTTTGCATGTGCCATTGTTGTAGTGAACACCACTGTGCGCTGTCATCATAGTGAACACCACTGTGTGCTGTCATCATAGTGAACACCACTGTGTGCTGTCATCATAGTGAACACCACTGTGTGCTGCCCTCATAGTGAACACCACTGTGTGCTGTCATCATAGTGAACACCACTGTGTGCTGTCATCATAGTGAACACCACTGTGTGCTGTCATCATAGTGAACACCACTGTGTGCTGCCATCATAGTGAACACCACTGTGTGCTGCCCTCATAGTGAACACCACTGTGTGCTGCCCTCATAGTGAACACCACTGTGTGCTGCCCTCATAGTGAACACCACTGTGTGCTGTCATCATAGTGAACACCACTGTGTGCTGTCATCATAGTGAACACCACTGTGTGCTGTCATCATAGTGAACACCACTGTGTGCTGTCATCATAGTGAACACCACTGTGTGCTGTCATCATAGTGAACACCACTGTGTGCTGTCATCATAGTGAACACCACTGTGTGCTGTCATCATAGTGAACACCACTGTGTGCTGTCATCATAGTGAACACCACTGTGTGCTGTCATCATAGTGAACACCACTGTGTGCTGTCATCATAGTGAACACCACTGTGTGCTGTCATCATAGTGAACACCACTGTGTGCTGTCATCATAGTGAACACCACTGTGTGCTGTCATCATAGTGAACACCACTGTGTGCTGTCATCATAGTGAACACCACTGTGTGCTGTCATCATAGTGAACACCACTGTGTGCTGTCATCATAGTGAACACCACTGTGTGCTGTCATCATAGTGAACACCACTGTGTGCTGCCATCATAGTGAACACCACTGTGTGCTGCCATCATAGTGAACACCACTGTGTGCTGTCATCATAGTGAACACCACTGTGTGCTGTCATCATAGTGAACACCACTGTGTGCTGTCATCATAGTGAACACCACTGTGTGCTGTCATCATAGTGAACACCACTGTGTGCTGTCATCATAGTGAACACCACTGTGTGCTGTCATCATAGTGAACACCACTGTGTGCTGCCATCATAGTGAACACCACTGTGTGCTGTCATCATAGTGAACACCACTGTGTGCTGTCATCATAGTGAACACCACTGTGTGCTGTCATCATAGTGAACACCACTGTGTGCTGTCATCATAGTGAACACCACTGTGTGCTGCCCTCAGGGCGTGCAAGCTCCCAGACTACGATAACTCTCCTGCTAATTTTAGTTTTGTGTGTGTGTGTGTGTGTACGTGTAAGTGCCTGTGAAGGGTGTTGGATCCCCTGGAGCTGGAGTTACAGGTGGTTGTGTGCTGCTTTAGGCAGGAACCGAACTCCAGTCCTCTGGAAAAGCATTGCGAGCTCTTAATGGGTGAGCCATTCTGAAAAATTTTGACAGAGCAAAGACTGACCCCAAGCCTGACCTCTGCCGAGGAAGAACTCTGCCCACGGGTAGCCTTTGGCCTCCAGTTGCCCTCACTAGCTTCTGGGGGCCTCTGCATTTGTCTTGTGTCCAGGAAGCATCCGCCGTCCTGCGAGCTCCTGCATTCTATCGGTTGTTTCTCTGAGGGACACGCAGTACTGACGCTGAGCGTTCTCTAAAACAACACCTCTCACATTTGCTCATTTTGTTTCATGTGTCAGTGCTTTGCTGGCACGGATATGTGTGTGTCTTCCGCCACCTTGGCAAAGTTAGTCAGCTTTCCGGGCCATCAGTTTCATTATGGCAGCAGCTCTTCAAAAATTTCAGTGATTTCAATATAATTACTAAAGCAAAAACAATGGGCTCATTGTTGCAACAACAGCAAAGTGGCTAATCACGGTCCAGGTGGTGAGGGCCATACAACAAGCATTTTTTTTTAAATAAAGAGCTTGAAAAAGCAAGCACATTTTGTACTCTCCGCAGCTAGGTTGCATAAGCTGCATAGGCGCTGAATTCTTGAAGGTGAGCAGGCTTAGCCATTTTTATCTAGCAACATTAGCAGGCACACCTGTCCCTCTGCCTTTTTATTATCTGGCCTTAGAGCAAGTACAGTTACAGAGGGCCCAGTCCCCCTTCTCAGAGCATTGCTTTCTTCTCATGCATTTTCTCCCAAGTGCCAGGGAGGATTGAGGACTTGACCCCCTATGGGTCTTGGTGTGTGACCCACAGGGAGATTGGAGAAGCTATCTACTGAAGGTACCCGATCTTTACGAATGGCCTAGCAGGGCCCGTTTATACTGGAGCATTTGTTACAGGACTGTGTAGGAAGGATTCTGAGGAAGAGCTGGGCTTTGGTACTCCCAGAACTGTGTGCCGTTCCATTAAGTGCTGATGGTGACATGGGCTTGGCTGAGACCCCTCAAGAAAGCTGCTGTGACTCAGCACCTGTGAACAGACACCAAGACTACCCCTCTGAGGGGCCTTCTGGTTCCCTGAGGACCCCTTCCACCTGGTTGCCGAGAGTGACCCGGCTCAGGCACGAAGGGAGAGTCGCCTCCGCTGTCCTGGAGTCTGGAACCTGGAGATTTCAGATCACTGTGGTGTGTGACTTTAGGGGCAGTGGGCTTAGTGGGTTTTAAACCTTAGTGGCAGCAAGGCCTTTTGTTTCAAAGAAATACACCCTGCAAAATGGAATTGGGAGGAGCTGTCAAGGGGACGAGGGAGATCAGTGCCTCTGGGAACCCCGGACCCTCTGAGCCCAGTGGCCCACCGGGAAATTGAAGACCAGCCTGTGCAGGAGACAGGAGGGGACACACTCCAGTGACATTCCCTACAGTTTGCCACAGTGGAAGTGTCTTGGTTTATCTTTCCTATTGTTAGCCATGGTGAGTCACCTCTGGGAATCTTCTGAGGGAACATTTTGTTGTCATTTCTTCCCTGGTGTGTGTGGGGTGTGTGTGTGTGTGTGTGTGTGTGTGTGTGTGTGTGTGTGTGTGTGGGTGTGTGGGTGGGTGGAGGGACAGAGCCCAGGCGTTGGCTGCCCCTGTGTCTGGTCTGGGCTCCACATCTTCTAGCTTCATAGTGTCAGGGAAGGAGCTCATCTCTTCCACCTCTGGTGAAAGGAGACCTCTGTGTGAGCCCCAGCGGCTTTCTAACATGGCTTCCGGAATGAAAGGCGGCAAATCTGGCTTCAGATTTCAAGAGGAGGTTTATTTCTCTCACGTTCTGGAGGACTGCTCCTTTCTGGGCTGAACCGGGTTGCTGCCAGAGCCTCTCCTCCCTCTGGATGCTCCAGGACAGAGCCTGCGCTTGCTTCTCAGAGTGTCTGTCCTCTTAGTGCGGTGTCCGCCACTGCATGCCCCCCTCTGTCCCTGTGGTCACATTCCCTCCCCCATCTATGCGTGTGTCCTGTCACCCATGTCCTCCCTCTTGTAAAGGACTCTGTGATTGCATTTAGGGACCATCTCTCAATCCCCGACCCTTCATCTCTGTGATTGCATTTAGGTACCATCTCTCTGTCCCCGCCCCTTCATTTCCATGCACCTGCAAAGTCTCTGCCTTGTAGGGTGACATCCGACAAGTCGCAGAGATGAAGACATCAGGTATGTGGTGTCATCAATTCATACCACCACCATGCCTCACAAGCCACAGGAGCACACTGTGGTACTGTGTGAAAACGTTTTTCTGCTTTTTCAGATGTTTGTTTTCTTATTTTTTATTTTATATGCATGAGTCTTCTTTTCCCTGCAGCGTACGTATGTGTACCAAGTGTGCGCCTGATGCCAGTTAGAGCCCCAATGAGGGTGTCAGATCGGCTGGAACTGCAGCTAGGGACACAGTTGTAAGCTGCCCTGTCATCCATCTGTAAGAGCAGCAAGAGCTCTTAACCGTGGATCCAGCCCCATGAAAACATTGTGTTGATGACAGCCAGCTAGGATGTTCAGATACTGTTACTGCAATAAAGGCAATATCTCAGCTGCAGAGTTTACGTAACAGAGAAACCGAAAGTGAGCTAAACAACAAAACCAAGTTCTTCTGCTTGTCAGATTGGAGACACTCACTCATTCACTGAGGTTGGCTGAGCACCTACTGTGTCCAGGGGCTTTTTTTTTATAAGCACTGTTCAGGTCCATTGGTAGGATAGTAGGTAGGGACCCTTGGCTGCGTGGAATTTATGTCCAAGTCCATCTGGGAGGTAAGGTTGGATTTTAAACAGTAGACACGGCAAGGATAAGAGTTGAGAATCCATCAGCGAGGACACTGGGCAACAATTCCCAGGGAGAGAGCAGTTGAGGAGGGAAGCGACTGGCCATTCTCGCAGTCGCTGAGCATTTCAGGCAGTCAGCTGGCTGGATGACAATGTGGTACAAAGTTGAGAGAGGCCGCGGTGATGACTGGGTGAAGTGCCGAGGGACAGGGACTCTTTCTCTCTGAACTCAGGTCCTTGTGCGGTGCCTATGCAGCAAGCACTCTCCCGGCCGGCCAAGCTGTCTCCGAGCTCCTCAGCAGTTTGCAGCATGTTTCTGTTGTTGTCCTGTCTCGGTTGCTCTGAGCTCAAGAGCCTGAAGTTAAACAAATGCCAGTAAAGTTGGACCCAGGATGAAGCTACCGGAAGTGACAGAGACCACAGGGAGCCACATCCTGCAGAACAGCTTGTGCAGATCTGCGGTCCGAGCGCTCCGCGGGGTGCAGACCTGGGCATCTGGGTTGGCCAGCTTTAAAAGCAGCATTGAAAACCCAGAATTTCCCTGGGTTAGTCTCAATTCTAACATGGCAGTGGCAGCTTATTTAGTGCAACTTGGGTCAAACGAAACACATCACGAGCTAGATTTCATCTTATAGGCAGCCCGCCAACTTTTCACCTGATGTTTTATGAGATGAATGTGATACCAAGCCCAGAGTCTGCCTGGCTTCCGTGGTCTGAGGCATCCTGGATGTTAGATTTCATGTGTTGGACATTGGTTCCCCTACTCCCCACTTTGGGAGGTGATTGGATCATGGGAATGGTTTATTTGTGTGGGTCAGTAGATTAATAGGTTATCAAGGAGAGGTTATAATAGGTTATTAATAGGTTACCATTTTATTTAATCACATATTGCAAAGCTGAAGGAAAAGCATATTTCAAAACTCTTTTTTTTTGAGATTTTCGTGTTTCACAGAGTGAAGATATAAATGAAAATGTCATGCAAATTGCAAAGCACTTCTATAAACGCTGGTTGTGGCTTCCATTGTGGTTGCGGGAACACGACTTGCTGTTATTGTCAGAATTAAGTGTGGTTTAAGCCTAGAAACCCACTGCAATCACTTTTGGTGTTTCCTTGTATTAGTGAATGATTACAGAGTGAGGAAATAGTAACCTCAAGTTGTGACTGCTTTGAACCTCAGGCCCGGTCTACTTGTGACCCTTGACTGTGTGGCTCACATAGCCACTCCACACCAGTGTCTACAAGAGTCCCCTTGAAATTAGGTGGGGCTGTGGCTTGCTTTGGCCAACAAAACGTATGCTGTTCCCTAGAGATTCACCTACGTGGACAAGTCTCCATGCTCCTGCTCCTGCTGTGGGAACGTTACTGCAGAGCAGTTGTTGCATGCTATCTGAGCCATGCCAGAGGATGTCACCCTGCAAAGTGGCCCTCACCTCTAGGAGCCATATCATGTCACTAAGATCTGGGGGGGGGTATTCATTTCCATGAATCGATGCCTCCTGTGTGGACAGACAAAAACTACGCACATGTGAGCGTATGCCGTGAAATCATTAGTTATTGGTGGGGCACCTCATGCCACAGAAAGAATGCTGCAGGCTTTCTGGGTAGGCTGGGTTTTCCCCCACTGGTCTCATGGCTTGTTAGCCTCGTGACCTTCGGGACACAATTCCCTTGTTTGTGAGGTGGGGAAGCAATGGCCAGGAAGAAACAGCTTCCCTTGGCTAAAACCTGCAGGTGATGTGGGACGCGGCTCCTATACTGTGTGCAGGGCATAGAAATCAATACACTAGGGGAAGGCGGGCGGGTTCCTGAGGTACAGAGCACAGCAAGGGAATGCAGTGTCCTTCTACAGGCTGCGAGAGCAGATCCCGAAGTAAACAGATGCACACACACCCTGTAAGAAGCTTGGCACTCCTGCAGGAGAAGGCTGGCGTTTCTGCAGGGCTGGGGGAGAAGGGCTGGTGTTTCTGCAGGGCTGGGGGAGAAGGGCTGGTGTTTCTGCAGGGCTGGGGGAGAAGGGCTGGCGTTTCTGCAGGGCTGGGGGAGAAGGGCTGGTGTTTCTTCAGGGCTCGGGGAGAAGGGTTGGTCTTTGTGCAGGGCTGGGGGAGAAGGGCTAGCACTTCTGCAGGGCTGGGGAGAAGGGTTGGTGTTTCTGCAGGGCTGGGGGAGAAGGGTTGGTGTTTCTGCAGGGCTGGGGGAGAAGGGTTGGCATTTCTGTAGGGCTGGGGGAGAAGAGCTGGTCTTTGTGCAGGGCTGGGGGAGAAGAGCTGGTCTTTGTGCAGGGCTGGGGAGAAGGGTTGGTGTTTTTGCAGGGCTGGGGGAGAAGGGTTGGCGTTTCTGCAGGGCTGGGGAAGAAGGGCTAGTGTTTCTGCAGGGCTGGGGGAGAAGGGTTGGTGTTTCTGCAGGGCTAGGGGAGAAGGGTTGGTAGTCCCATGGGAACGTGCAGCTGCTCAGAGGGAGCAACCACAGGAAGGTGGGGACGATCAGACAACCTTACACTGAATGTAAGGCTTCATGGATATTCCCTAGGTAGGAAAAGGAAGCTTTTCAATCAGGACAAAAAAAATTATAACAGCACAAAGGTGTGAAGCAGCAAAAGAGATGTGGGGTTAGGTAGAGACTTGAGACATCTGAAAGCAGGGAACACCTTGGGAGGACAGTGAGAAGGGCTGGAAAATTAGGATGAGGTCAGCTGAGTATAACAGCTTTTGAATTTTAAAGCATGCAAATCGCAGCAATTTATAAAGAGTCACTTTAATGTTACTTTTAGGATTGCTTTGGTTTACTCAGTTATTTAACTTTAAATTGCATTTATTTTGGGACACACACGTGTATGTGTGGATCAGAGGGCAGCTCCTGGAAAATACTTATGTTCACCCATGCCATCTTGCTGGAAGTCATTACCGCTACATTCCATATCATACCAATGCTCAAGAGCTAAGGTTAATCACCATCTGATGTTGTTTAGGCTTTCAGTGGGCCACCAGTTAGGCAAGGATGCTGTGAGGACAGGTTATCTTTGCATCGAAAGCCCACTACTCACAGGTATGGTGCGTGAGGGGCATTTAGATAGCCAGGCCTGTAGGCTGGAGCGCACACAGATTCTCAGGGTTCTTGTGTGGTGGCCTAGCTGTGCACAGTCCAGCAGTTGAAACCTCCTTCTCACGACCAAGCCTCAGGAACCATGCAAGACAGTCTCTATCCATCCTGTTGATGATTCTACCCACACATTCCAAGCCTATCTATACTAAAATAGATGTGACAAAGACCCCCTCTCCTCATCAGAGTGAGCAGTGCCTAAGTCCCATTATAGAAGATTTTGTAGGTGAGTTTATTTTACAGATGACTCTGGAAAACATAATCTCCCTGGCACCTTAGCAACCATCGTATACAAGTCGCTTTGTGTTCAGGAAACCTTACTCAGCACGTCGGCTGCGCAGGACTGTGTTCACATGTCTCCACACTGACCTGAAGCAAGGACAGTTATCCAGGCTGGCAGATGCTGTCTTGGGCTCTAGACCTACTTCCCTGAGGATGACCCAAGCCTGGAGACAGTATTGCTGTTGGGACCCAGTCAGCACAAAGCTGGCCTTTAGGAATGCTCTCCTCCGAACGCTGGATGTCAGACCAGAGAGTGTCAACAGTTTGTCCATCTTCACGGTTTTCACGGTTAAAGACCAGATCGGTTGTTTCCACACCCCCAACTACCCCCGCACCCCCATGGTCAGCTTGAAACTCTAACAGAATGCTTGGCTAGTTGGTACCACCGATGCTCACAGAAGTGAGAGCAGCCATTCCTTTGGTTTGCTGTAACCGGGAAGCTCTGAAACAGGAGAGGAGGGGTGGGGTGGGGTGAGAGGGCCAGGGGTTAGGCTGGGCTGTTGGGGTGTTGATGGTGCCCTTCCCATCAGAATTACGGTTCTTGGCTAACTCCCAGTCCACTTTGGGCTGTTGTCCACAAAGGAGCGACAGGCAATATTTCACAACCAGGCAGAGCTCCCAACTATTGGCTGACCTAGACTAAACTTGAACGCCCAGAAAACCTCAGCTGTACCTTTAGCATTGGAGGTCTGGATGCAAGATTATCATGCCCAAGACGCTGCCCTTAGGATGCTCCTGCCGTAAGAGAGAGGCTGGCAGCATTGTTTTGTTTGTTTGTTTGTTTTGTTTTTGTCTGCGCTGTCCTGGCTTCTCGAGTGTTTTATTCCTTCTTTGGACAGAAAAGGCTGAGAAGAACATAGCATGCATTCATCTTTGGCCTCAGGAAGCAGGCAGTGATTTTTTTTTTCTTAGCTAATCTGTGTAGAAGCTTAAGGTGTAAGCAAAATGACGCAGCACACGCCGTACGCGTGGATACCAAGACGGTGGTATGCCCATTCAGTCCCGTGGGTGTGCTTGACATTTTATTTTGCCTGCCTTCAGCACACAGGGAGAAGCCACCTACGAGTGCAAGATTCCTTGGTTGTACCTTGAGGTCCTCCATGATTTATTCATCACTTACGAAATCGCCTGCTATAGGTGCAGGCATTGCAGCAACAGGCTGGTGGGATTCCTGTTCAGCCACAAACTGGTCAGGGGGGAGACCAGAGAAATTCACAAAAAGTGTTGGGAAGCTGCACATTGACACAGGTGTTTTCTTTTCTTTTCCTCAGAAGAGACATTTAGCCCACCTATTGGACGGACTTACATTTAGTGCCACTTTACAGAAACACTTCTCTCTCTCTCTCTTTTTTTTTTTAAGTGCATTGAACTTGTAAGCAAACGCTTGGCTTAAATGAGGCTGCTTGGAAGTTTCCAAGTAAGTGAATCCAGATTGAAATACAGGGAGGGTTCCTGATGCCTCCCGGTTTAGTCACCATTGGCAGGGGGGGATATTATCCTTCAGGCATCTAGATATTTTAGGAAGAATGAAATACTAAGCATTTTTTAAAAAGCTGTTTTGAGGTCTGGCAGAACCCCAGATGTGTTTGCTGTTTTCTGTTTAATTTCTGCTGAGCATCTCTCTATTAACTCAGGAATCTAAGTACAGTTCCAGGGCGGCTGCATCTACACAATGTGTTTCTGATTATTTGCATACAATCCAGCGAAGTAGCTTTGGAGGGATTTATTTATTCATTTTTTCCATCTCTTTAATTTTCATTAAAACCTTCATGATTCCCGCCCCCCTTCCCTCCCCATTTCCTTTCTCCGGCTCTAGTTTACTGAATGACCTCTTTGTGGACAATGAAATGTTTGCATTTGGAAGGCTCAGATTTTTGTCAGACTATGGAAATCCCTCAGTAGGACGCAATGTACTCCCCCCCCCAGGAGTGGAAGTTGGGGCTGTATGGAAGCTGGGTTGGGCCTTGGGACTTCCCGCTCCCTGTTTTATCTCTTGAATCCCTTAGGTTGGTAAATTTTTAGGTTAGTAAGGTTAGTGGACGTGTGGCAACTTGAGCACCAGAGCAAAGAAAGGGTCTCCACTCTTACCTACTCCGTGTTTCCAGGCAGAGGCGTCATGGCTACTCCTGAGACCGGCTCCTTTAAGGAGAAACAGCTCCGGGGCAACCCATTGGAGGAATCTGAAATATGCTTCATGGGCCAAGAAAGTTACAGGAAGGCAGGGGGCCGTTTGCATGGCCAGCCTTGAAGTGCTGGGCGGTGGGCTCGTGTGTCTCCTTAATTCTTCCAAATGTCTCTCGACTCCTGCTAGCGTAAGTGCAGTTGCCCTGCTTGTCTGCATTTTGCCACGGCAACAACTTGCCAAGGACAGTTCGGCCCCCAGACTGTTGGGCTGAGGGCACTGGTCCTCCACGGGAAGCCACTGGGAGGGCAGCTGGTAAGCGAGGAACCAGGAATCAGGCAGGACCAAAAGCCTGCAGTTTTGCTGGGCTGGCAGCCTTGTCCGCACCCCCACAGGGTCCGACATTTTCAATTGGTCCCGCCTACTAGTCTAGGGCTTACACAATCCTAGCTGGTTTAGGTGGGTGCATGGATGGGGAGACCAAAACAGACTAAAAAAGACAAGACCGTGGGGACCCAGTGCTTATTCCCTGCCTCAAATGATCAAACCCTGTGAGTTTAAAACAGCCTATTTTCCTCACCCATTGAACACGTCTGCCCCAAAAAAATGTCTCCAGACTGAGTTCTTGCATCATGACTGGTTTGGTTTACATGCCCTTTCTAGATTTAATTTATGATATGCTCTGCCCAGGGCTTAAGCTGTGTTTCCTTCAGCCTTCGGCGATGCAGTTCACTTCAACTTTATAAAGTTAATAACTTGTTTGGCTCCCAGGTTTACTGCCTGGGGTAGATTGGAAGGCTAGAAAAGCAGGGGCAATGCAGTTACATGAAATCCAGCTCAGCAACAGGATCTGGTTTTTATACAGCGGTAACTCCGCAGAGACAGATCTCACACACATTGATGGTCGCCAACTTAATGTGGACAGTTCAATTTTTTTGTGAATCTGTTCACAAGTTTGGGCAGACATCAACAAGGTCCAGTTCTGAGTATTTCATCACCTGAAAAAGAAATCCTTTCTTTCAGCCTCTGTCAACTACTAATCCGTTTCCATGGACAGTTCATATAGAATTATATAATGCATGGCCATTTGTGACCAGATGAGTCAGGACTTTATTCCTTTTGCCAAATGGGGTTCAGCTACATGGTACACTGCATTTGCTAACTTATTAGTTGCTGGTTATCCAGGGACTTGTACAAGTGCTTGTGTGAACATGTGTTTTAACACACCCTTAGGAGTGGCGTTGCTTGGTCATATGGTAATTTTGAATAGCTAGTTTTCCAAAATTGTGTAAATGTTATCAGTCTCCGAAGACAAGGGTTCCCTGACTTCTGTCTATTCCCACAGGCACTTGTCTTTATTTTTGCTGTTGAGTGAGCTTGAGGTGGTGCCTTTGTGGTTTGGTTTACATCTCTCTATGACTGGCAATATTGAGTATATTTTTTTTGTGGGCTTGTAGGGTATCTGCGTGTCTTCAGAGAAATATTCATTCAACTCCTTCACTCATTTCAAAGCTGGCTTACCAGGAGTGGCAGCCAGCGCTTGCCTAAGTTTCAGCATTCGGGAGGCAGAGGCAAGTGGATCTCTGTAAATAATAAGGTCAAGGCCGGCCTGGTCTCCATAGTGAGTTCAAGCCAACCAAAGCTGCACAGGGAGACTAACTAAACAAGCAAGGACACAAGTAATAACAACGACCCTCCCCAGCTTTTTGTCCTTCTATTGCCCAGTTGTTTATGCCATTGAGTTACGTAAGCTCCTTATATGTTCTAGAACTAAGCCCTGTGTTTAGTGCAAATACTATCTCTTGTCCTGTGGATTCTCAGTGGAATCCTTTGAAAGACAAATGCTTATCATATCAACAAAGTCTGATTTATCTATTTTTCTCTGTCACTAGTACTTTTAAGTATCAAATCTAAGAAACCCAGCCCATAACAATCTACTTTGTTGTCTAGTCAAGGTTTTGTAGGGATTTTTGTTGTTATTGTTGTTTCTTGTTTGTTTGTTTCTTTGTTGGAGATAGGGTTTCTCTGTGTAGCCTCGGCAGTCCTGCAACTCACCCCGTAGACCAGGATGGCCTCAAACTCACAGAGATCTCCTGCCTCCAGAGTGCTGGGACTGAAGGTGTGCACCACCACTGCCTGGCTGGTTTTGTAGTTGTAAATCTTATTTCGGGTATTTGATTAGCTTGAGTTCACTTTTGCGTATGCTGCTAAGTGAGTACATAAATATTTGAAATGCATATCCCTGGCGTTCTCCACTGAAAGACTGTTCTTTAGCACCCACGGTACTGAACTCTTGGTTATGCACACAATCTAGGTTCATTCCACCCACTGGTATATCTGTCTTCATGTCAATACCACAGTCTTTTTTTTTCAAAAAATTATTCATTTTAATTTTATGTATATGAGTGTTTGCCTACATGTATGCTCGTGTACGGTGTGGGTGCATGATGTGGGATGTCCTTTTGTCTGCTGCGAATATGTCCAGCTTTTATTGGTTGATGAATAAAGCTGTTTTGGCCTATGGCAGGGCAGAATAGAGCCAGGAGGGAAATACAAACAGAGATACAGAGAGAAAGAAGGCAGAGTCAAGGAGATGCCACGTAGCCACCTGAGAAGTAAGATGCCACAGAATGTATGGCGATACACATATTAATAGAAATGGGTTAATTTATGTGTAAGAGCTAGCTAATAATAAGCCTGAGCCATCAGCCAAACAATTATAGTTAATATTAAGCAGCAGAGTGATTATTTTATAAGTGACTGCGGTACCAGGTAGGATGCATAAACACTTCCGGCTACATTTGCAGTACCAACTTGGGACTCTTGAATTTCTATAGGGCCTGAGAAAGCTTAAGAAAAGGTTCTGAACACAGAGAAACAGAGCTACAATGGGCTTTCTAGTCTCACATTTTCATGCCAGCATCAGCGCAGAGACCTGTCTCCCAACAGCTGCCTGCACCAATGTCATGAGCTAAGCAGCATGGCAGATTGCCACAGTTTTTCAAAGGGGCAGCAGTAGAAAGAGGCTTCTCCCAGCCACTGCCTGCAGGCTTGAGAACACAGCTATGGGCCTAAGAGCACAGCTACATGGTACTTAGTACTGCTTTCCAGAGTTGGGGGGGGGGGGGGGTAAGCATGACTCTCCTTGGTACCCCTGCCATGTTGAAAAGCTGAGTAGGGCAAACCAACAGCTAAAGCAACTACTCTTATACTAGCCATGCCTGCTTAACAATTTAAAGCAGTGGTCACAAAATGACTACAGATGTACCATAAGGACAGATTTAGGCAAAAAAAAGGGCCTCTAAATGGGTCACAGTATGTTTGATAAGTGTGCATGGGCTTGGGAGAGAGAGGATAGAGGATAGGCAGAGTCATAGATAAAGATAAAATTTGAGGATGATAAACTGAGGTCCTTAAAGGGGAGATAGAGTAATAAAAATTATTATGGGCCATGTATATGGACCTCTGGAAAATATGCAGAGTCTGGATTATGTATACTACTGTGGTTTCTTTGAATTTTTTGGCTGTTGATGAGCCAGCTACAGAGAGATATTTGGTTGTGGGGGCTGCTAAGCTAAACCAACATAAAGGTATCTTGACTTCAAAATTTGTGTCTAAGGATATGTTGCTTTCGAAAACAGTTTCGGCCTTTGTTTCCATAGAAGATGAGAAGCTGTGAATTCCTTCCAGGCTGATATGGTTTGGCCAAACAAGACCCCCTAAAAGGTCTCCATGGGAATGATGGCCCAGTTGATCCAATATCCAAAACAGCTTTAAGGCAACTGGCTGAGATGATGCAGCCTCACAGACTACTACAGCCAAGATTTAACCATAATTCTAAATTTTCTCAGGGTCCACTGCACCCAACAATCAGCAGGAAGTAGTATAGAAAACTACATCCAAATTCCCAAAATATTATTTGTAAATGTTTGTTTTCATCCAAAGGGGGGTTGGTTGTAAATGGTTAATGGTCACAATCAATCTCTTTTTTAAAGGAAAAAAAAGGGGGTATATAGAAATGAATACTTTACATTGGTATGGATTTTTGTTTATTGATACAAATTTAAGGTCAATTTTGTTATACTATTTGTATATTGCTACTCTTGTTTAAGGAGTTATGTTTATGCAGCTCATTTAAAATGTAATGTATCATTAAGAAATACAAATTAATAATTATCTATAATAGTCAAACTTATAATGATGTTAGTTAGGTTTTCTAGATATGCAGAGATATATTTCAGATGGATAGGTAATCTTCAAACACTTCAAAGACCTACAGAATATGGCATTTAAAAATGTCTTAAGAACTTAGATTTTTCTTGACAGTGAGACATGTCTGCTCCTGGCAGCACCAGTTATTTCAAGAGAATGATGGGCATCGAAGTAGCTCCTTATGGAGTTTGCCTTCAATATGGCAAGGCTAGCCATTTGGACAAGAAATGGGCTTGCCTGGACTGCTTGACTGTATGCTGTATAAACTGGACATAGAGGACCCACAGGAAAGTGACTGCTGAACTTGCCAAAACAAGGTGGGACAGTCCTTCAGCATTCTTGCTTCATGGAAAAATCTGCCAGACATTCTGCAGGACACAGAGGAAAATGACTGACAAACTGCCAATACAAGTGGACAGTTTCAAATTTCCAGCCAAAGATGGATGGCCCCAATGTTACAGAAGAACTTTGGTTGACTGTCTGGGCAGCCAGATGTCTCTGTCATTTCTAGAGTTTTGGAAGTTGCTTGCAATACACTTCCTGTTTGTTTAGGTAATATTATATCATTCTGGGGTCTTTGATGGAGTTGAGGATGAGGTAGTCTTAATTATAGTTTTCCTTAGCTTTGGTGAAAGACAAATTAGATATGAAACTCTAGACTCTCAAAGATAGGATAGATGCTAAAGTTTTTTCTTTAATTTTGTCAAATACAGACTAAATACTATAATTCTTGCTTGGTGCATGTTCTGTTACATGTAGTTTTACAAAGTTAAAGTTGAAACCTTCCTTTTTAGATAGACAGAAAAGGGGAGACGATGTGGGATGACCTTCTGTATGCTGTGACTATGAGTTGCTTTTACTGGTTGATAAATAAAAATGTTTTGGCCACAGCCATGTGGTGATACAAACTTTGATAAAAATGGGTTAATTTAATTGCGAGAGTTAGTCAATAATATGCCTGAGCCACTGACCGAACAATTATAATTAATGTTAAGCCTCTGATTGTTTATTCGGGACCTGGCGGGCCAGAGAGAAACCTCCATTTACAGGTGCAGTACTTGCAGAGGGCAGCAGAAAGCACTGGATTCTCTGGAGCTGGAGTTCCAGATGCTTGTGAGCTGCCATTTGGGTCCTCCGAAGGAAATCCCAGTCCTCTGTGAGAACAGCCATAACCACTGAGCCATCTCTTCATTCTCAAGTACCACCCGGTCTTCATTACCGTAGTTGAGTAGAACGTTTTCAAATTTAAAACCCTGATCCTTCTGATCTACGACCTGTTTTTGTTTGTTTGTTTGTTTTTGCAACAGTTTAATAAATTCTGA